CCAGTATGATCCACCCCCAAGCATTACATCACAGCTAAAGCAACAGAAGGGTAAAGATAGAATAAGACATTACATACTTACATACTTAATAAGTAGTGTACATACAATAAATGAAAAAGACAGAAATATAGGATTGAAGTCCGACAAGATGGATCTGAGTGGAGCAGGCTGCTCTGGGACTCCAGTCTCATGACATGAATATTTGAAAGGGAGGAGCGGGTGAAAGGGGGGGGGGGGGGGGGGGGGGCTGATGCTGTAGAAGAGACTGCATCACTGGGTGGATATGGATGGGTGATATTTTTATGCTGCAGTCCCACCGGGGAACATAACCTCAGGAAGGAAGCTACTTCCCTGTGTGACCTCAGCACAGACTGGTCATGGTATACTCAACATGTCTTCCCCTCATTCTATGTATTTATTGGTTTTATCTTACAAGGCATGTGCAATTTTTCATATAGTTCTTTTTATACTGCCTTTTATGCAATATATTATTGTGCCTTTGGATACGTCACAGTGTTTCCCCTAGGTTTACTGCTTTGGGGGTGTTGTTGGGATATTATTACTTTTTAAATCCTCTGGAGCAGAGAGGAGCTGTGGATTAATGTTATTGATTAATGCATCAGTGTTTCTTAGGGTCAAAAACACTAAACTCATAACTTCAAATGCAAGTGTTTAGTTTATGTAATAAAAGAGCACATGTTCAATGTGAAAAGTGACAGTAGATATAGATTAGTTGCAATTTGGTGCTATAAATATGTATTATTGAAAAAACTAAAAAACATCTTAAATTTCTGGGGGGGCGCGGGGCTCCGTTGGCGGGGCGCAGCAATGGTCGGGAAACACGACGGGGGTCCCCGGCAATGGTAGGGGAAACACTGTGTCATTATTTAGGTGAAACGCAGTTACTTGTAGCAAAGTTCCCAAAGATAAACCTAAATGACCTTATATATTTAACTCTTGGACACCCTGAACTGTATTCAACACACTAATTATTCATGTGTGTTAATGGGGTTATAGTTGTATTAGCGATTCATAGCATGGCTTATAGAATTGATTTTGTTTATAATTTTGTAAAGGCAAAACTGATGATTATCATTAGGGATGCACAATTAAAAGAAATGTTGTCAAAATAAAAATGTGGACTAGCACAAACTTCAAATCGCAAAACGCACAATATTTTGTAAAGGCGAATATGTGTTTAAAATACCATCTCCAAAACATTTGTTTGGTACGGATCATTCTAATACATTGACAAGGTTGGGTTGTAACGGAATACATGTAACGGCGTTACGTAATCAGAATACAAAAATCAAGTAACTGTATTCAGCTCGCGTTACATTTGAAGAAACTAGTAACCTGATTACAGTTACTTTCGTAAACCTGAAGTGAATACATTTTGGATTACTTATTGGAATTATTGGTGGAAAGATTTCCTCACAACATTTAATATTCATTACTAAAGGTACAGCCGAATCATCACAGCGCACAAAAACTTTTACCGCCGCAGATGGACCAAAAAAGGGAGCGTTTGAAAAAAAAGGGGCGGGTCCGCTCAGTGAAACAATAACAACGAAACATGGAGGAACAAAAGTATGCGTTTAAGTCGTGTGTGTGTGTGTGTGTAGAGGTGTGTGTGGTTAAAACACATCAGCCACACCGCTCTTTAGCCTTTCTAATGATTCTGAAGGTAAACACAGTGAAGGCGGTGCGTGAAAGGCGGTGCGTGAAAGGCACTGCGCGGCGCGCTCCTCTTCTCAGAGGCTGAGTTAACCCTCCCGCTGCCTCCTGGTACTGCAGAGATTTCATGAAGTGAAGGAGGTTTTCCTTCTATAAAACAGCTGTGGGCAGCAGATACTGTGAGTGTCACGGACATGCATACATTAAGGCAGATTGGTGCACACACTCTCCTGTTTTGCCAATCCGGTGCTTAAACAAATATAGCTCTACACCCCTGGCCGAAATGTCCTTAAAATGAAGTCCGAGTTCAACATTTTAATTCATGTCCTGCCAACACTGGCAGGACAGAAGGCGACACGCCCGTTCTAAGCCGTGTCCCGTGTCCCTCACTCCTCACATCCCAAGCTGCATCCCCAAAAAGTGTATTATGTTGTTACATCGTTTCAGATGTTATGTTTCAGTTGTGCTCTTGATAAGCCATTAAAACAGTAAAAACATGTTCAGTTTCCTTTTGCTTTTTGTGTCTCCTGTTCACCAAAACATACCCATCTGGGATGGAAAAAGAAAGTAATCCAAAAGTGATCTAAAAGTAATCTGATTACGTAACTGTAACGGTATTCGGATTACTTTCAGAGCCATGTATTCAGTAATCAGTAACTGATTACATTTACAAAGTAACCCTCCCAACCCTGCACATTGATGATGAGAATGATTATGCAAATGTTCAATATCTCTAATATTGCAATTGCAATGTCAGTCAAATATTATTTTTTCAAACTGTGCAGCCGTTATAATCATAAGCCATCATTTATCATCATAAAGTCCATCCTCAAGGGTCGTGGGGGGTTGGAGCATGGATGTATAAAGAGAACTAGATAAAGTGTTGGAGGCGGGGCCCCGTTCATTTTTTTATGAAAGTTAATCAGTGGTGCATGAAACCAAAATGGCCTAGACCTTGAGAATACAAATACCTGAATCCTCTGGGTCTTGGGCCCACAGAGCAAGCACACTTGCGTTTTTGCTAAGCCTCCTATCAGCTCCATCACGACTGTCTCGGCTCAGTCCAATGAATGGAGAGGGAAAATAACTAGTATCATCTGATGTTTGTGCATTGGAAGCTTTTAGGACCTAATGATTTAAATAAGGCAGATTCAAGTGTTCATACTGGGTAGATCATATAGCTAACAAAAAAGTATCTGCTGATATACAGATATCTCTTTCCCAATGCAAGTCAATAGGAAAAAGTGTTTGGAGCCAAATGTCGTCCTGGACTAACAAGGAAGTTGAAGTACCACGGTTTGGCCTTTGATACATTTTGCCTGTCCAGCACACTTCCTGGGGGCTTGGGTTGGAGTGGATCCCACCTGCCAATGGCCTGTGGTCGCCAGTCAATCAAAAGGCTGCCAAATAGTGCCAGACCACCATTCATGCTCACATTCAAAGGTGATTCAATGTCACTGTGGCTTGTGTTAAGGTGTGTTAAGAAAGAAGTAACCTTACCACAATGTGTGGTAGCAGTAAAAAGGACCAAAGGTTTGTTTCATAGTGTTCTTGTCACTGACTGTATGTATGAGTCAGAGGAAGGTAAGAGACTCATTTTTAAATTGAATGACAAACACTGAGTCAGCCTAAAAGCTTTTATTTATCTGGACTGTGTTTGGGTTCTGTGGATTATGCTACATGACATACATCAGTTAAAGTGTGGTTTGATTTACCACTGTCCTGTTTTCTGGGAAAACAAAACACCAGTGAATCTTTTAGAAGCGATGAAGGCTCAAACTCCATGAATAATGTATCATTAATCTCTGAGAACTTTATAATATTGCTATTGTGGCTTTACAGTAAACTGAATTTATTCTTTAACTTGTAATGTTGATGTTCCTTTTATTCAGGATTATATTTAAACAACCTTTTCAATGTAAGATATTCTTTTTTTAGGATTGGAACACCCAATGCAGCAGTATCCTCCAGTGTACTCTTTCTGAATGTTACAAAGAAAAATATCTTTGATCTAACTTAGCATTCTACATTGATGTAATCACCTATCTACAGCTTATTAGACTCAGTACCTAGAGAATGTGTGTTTGCCAGTTTACCATCATCAAAATAGAGACCAACAATGTTCAGTTGAATGGTGGGCCAAAATCCAGGAGAAAATGAATCATCCAACCAGTTAGCTTTATTTATTTATTTTAAATCATACTTTTTCTTTGTGAAAAGGATAATGTGAATAGCCTGAAAGTGGCTGCATATTTCTGCATAAAGAAGAATGTCTCCACAGGGGCAGCAGCATCAGTGCTCTGTGTGAGTACACAGGATACATTCAGGAACAGTACTGCGTGTAGGACACACTGGATTTGGTAGCCCTTAAAGCCCAACACATGTTTTCAGTGTGTCCTTTAGCCGGTATTTAATTGACTTTGATTAGGAAATTCTGTTTAAGTCTGACAAATAAAAATCTTTCTCAGTAAAATAATCCCCCCCAAGCACAATTTGAAGCACCAGCTGCTCTCATTCATAGCACAAGTGTGCAACAAGACGTCATCCCTGTGTAACGTCCTCATGAAGGTTTGAATTTCTCAGTGGCCTGCAAAGTCCTCGTAAGTGATTTCAGCGGAAATATATTCTGAGTGGAACAGAAAGAAAACAGCGCTTTATTTCAATTTGGCAGCAGCACTTCATAATTAATATGTTATGAGCCAGAGTGGCATACACATATATTGGTTTGTTTACATATTGTTTTTAATCTGTTTTATTCTATATGATAATTTGTAGGCTTAAAGCTGAGGGAATTTCATTTTGTTTGCAATATGCTCAAGTCTAATGACAGGATGTATTGTTTATTGTTGTTACTTTTTAATAAAACATATCTACATGCTTTGATGTTGTCATTCTTTACATAGACTTCCTATTAATGTATAAAGCTCTATAATAAACACAGGTAATATTTTACCTGAATTTCTCCCGTCTGTCTGGGACATTGGAATGTTCCTGGACACTTTGACCTGCACCCATTTTTCCAACGGAAAAGCTGCGTAATCGTTGCAGCTAAGCAGTTAGGTAGTTCAACTAATTATTACCAACATTTGCACATGGCATTGCACATGTCACAGGTAAAACTTGTGTCCATTCAGTTAGAAAAAGCTTTATAAAAGCACACACACAAATGGTGCATTGTTAACAGCTACGGCTAATGGTGGATCAACACAATCCTGAAAAAATGCACAAATAATGCAAGGCAGAAAATTGCATTGCGTTATGTCAGAACAGGCTTTAGAGATGAGCTGAGATGTGATGAGTGGGTGTCAGTGGTGAGCATGTACCTGCAATAACTGTCGTCGGTGTCTCCTGGTCAGGCAGGCAGGTGTTTCCATGTGCTGACGAAGGCGGTGGGGATGAGTGAATAAGGCACAGTGGTGATGGAGTTCCAGTTATCTGACGTGGGGTCGTAACAGTCCAGCGTTTTACACCGCTGCGTCCCAAAATAACCTCCGACCACATAGAGCTTATTCCCTGAGGCCACGGCGTGGCAGCTCATCCGTTTGGACGTCATGTCGCCCACTCGAGTCCACTGAGTGGTTTCACAGTCAAAGCGATAGGCGGAGGCGGCGGTGAACTCAGTGTCCCCCCCCATGATGAAGATCTGGCTCCCCAAGACAGCAGCTGCCGTGTAGCGCCAGGGCTGAGGGCATTCAGCCGCTATGTTCCAGCGGTTACCCACAGGGTCATAGCATTGGACCTAGACGGAGAGTTTGAAAGTTTTCAGGTGCAACAATTATTTTACCACATTTTACGATGGAAACATATAAACAAGTAAATTAAAGTAAAACTCTCTCCTTCATATAGAGTGGTGTGGTGAAGATGTATTATTGTAGGCTGACCCAGAAGTTAGCTAGCAAGGGATCTCTCGAAAAAAAACTTGGAATTTTCTGTGACAAGCACACATTTATGATACTTACACGTTTTGTTCAGAAGGATAATCTCCACATATTTATAGCACTTTTATGATTTTGAAGCGTAAACGAAATCATCAGAAGTGAGAAGCTAAAGTTAGGCTAAGAACAACATCACGATCGCTTAGAAATGTGTCACCTACGCTAACCTAACAGCGGGTTTGTCGTGATAACGTTAAGTAGTTTCATTTTTGATAAAAACCACGATTTTTAGGACACATAGAAGTTCAAGCTTTTGTTAACCATAACAAAAGACCATATTTCAGTAGTTTAACCAAACACACGCTCAGAAAACCACTTTGAGACGAGGGAATCAGAAGTTGTAAAACTCATTTCCAGGTTTTAGGCCTTGTTTCTGCACCACTCTATTCAAGCTATAAGATTACAAAGTGAAAGTGGATAGGAGTTTATTAGTTAGTTTGAAACTGAATTATGGGATGTTAGGGGCTGCCTTGTAAGGAAGTTTAGGGAAGATACAAATACAATCCACCCACCTTGGAGGCCTTGTCTCTATGAATGGTGGTCCCCCCAAAAACAAAGAGTTTGAGTTTGGCACTGACCACAGCTGCGTTACTGACTCCATCTCTGAGAGGAGCCATCATAGTCCATTTATTAGTAAGAGGTTCATACCTCTCCACCTAGGAAAAAGTTAGTTAGACTTTCATGTTTGATTTCAAACACACAAACAGCTTAAAGGTGAATGAGTCCAAGTGGAGTCAAAGTCAAACTTCATAACAACCAGAAAACAGGCTGTTCTTTTGCACATGTATACATAATTACGTTTTTCTATTCATGAATATGCATAGTAGAAATTGTAAATTCTGATACCTGTTTTAGGGAGACAGATGGTGAGGCAGGGAAAACTCCTGCTATGGCTGTGTGACCTCCAACAACGTAGAGACTATTCTCCAGCTCAGCTGAGCCATGGCCAAACCTGGACAACAGAAGTCCCACATTATTTGCATGTATATTTTAGAGCAGTGGTTCTCAACCAAGGCTCTGAGCATCTCAATGGATACTTGGTCCCAAGGGGGCCTCCAGAAGATGGGTTTCTTTTGACTTCTCATTAACTATAGAATCGGGACCTAATGCGAGTAAGAGTGAATATTCTGATCGTATGTCTCACTCTCTTCCCAGCTATCTGCTCAACTGCTGTTACAACTATAGAACTTGGTCTTTATCATCAAAAACCCCAAACATATTTCCAGATTCAGGCCCCTAAAGCAAAATGATATCAAATGGTTTATAAGAATAATCAAGTGAGACTACACTCTTAAGACTTTTCTAGTAGACTTCTATACAATTCAATTTGACTACATGAATAGGCAGTATCATTTCTGACTTTATTGTACTATAAGTGACTCACCTGGCTATTAGCATGGGAGCTCCTTTGGACCACTCCTCATGGACAGTGTCGTAGATCCAGACGTCTTTAGAGACTCCGTTCTCTGAGCCTCGGCCACCTGTGACGTAGACCTTACAGCCGATAGCACACGCACTGAACTCCTTCCTGGGGCTGGGGAGGTCTGCTTTGGGTATGATCTCCTTGGCTTTATGGTCAACCTAAAAATGGTCCACAGTAGTAGATATTACATTAGACATGTCATGCTTTTCCGGTTATTAGCCGTCCCCTTGTGTGTTGTGAAGGTTTTTCTGCATGTAAACGGTCTGCAGAGTCACAAACCCTCAAAGTACACCCTGTAGCGAATAAAACTCTAACACAGAAAAGACCTGTCTGTGCTGCCCCAGAACGCCTCGTTGGACATTTCTCTTTTTCCAGTGTTTGCTTCCTGAGTACAGTGACGTGTGAACACCCAAATCAACAACAAATGACCGGATTGGCCCAAATGCACCAATCCACGGAGCAGACCCATTCTCACAGCGTTATACACCTTTTTCTTACTCAATATCAAGCCACACTTATTGTTTTTACTTCGGCTGTGAGTGTGTGTGTGCTCTGGATGAGTTTCGCTGTATCGCCGACCCGGAACACTGTCCGCTCCTCGCAGCAGCGAGCCTCGCAACGTCCCGATCATTCAGAGCACAGTGCGCTCATAGGGAGGGGGGGGGGCAGGAGCTCCAACAAGCCTTTAGGACAGAGAGTGAATACACATACTATACAGAGATGCTGGATGAGAAACCAATGTGAGTTTGGAAAATTGCACATTATAAATCTATTCTAGTAGACCTCAACAATGGAATTATGATCAGTAGAAATGGCCATGACATGGGACCTTTAAATGTGTTAATGGAATATTAGTTACAACAAATTTAAGTCATACTTAAAAAACCAAAAAATGGGAATAAAACGGACAAAGAAAAAGAGATGTATATAATTTTGACTGGATGAGATTGTGATAGTCTCTATTTAGAACATTTGTTATGCTTATCGTCTATTTTCCTCTAAATGGGAATAGAATTTACTACATTTGTTGCCGCTGCTTTTAATAGATATAATCATATCTCACACTACACAGTAACTTGTATTCATGTACCTGTGTTATTCATGTTTTATTATCTTTGCTTTTAAATAAGTGTTTTAAAATGCCATTTTATAATAATGTCTTTCATAATAATGTCTTTCATTTTTGTAAAGCACTTTGAATTGCCTTGTGTTGAAAGGTGCTATATAAATAAATTTGCCTTGCCTAAATTGACATAATGTTGCATTTAAGAAGCCTAAGAATAAAGATTGAGACCATAGAATCATAAGGAAAATGTTTACAGTGGTTATAAATCAAATGAAAAATCCTTCATTCATTTGATTCATAGACTTCAGATTTCATTTTGTGGTGACCCTGCTGGATATTAAAGTTAATACAGGTTTAAGGCACTTTCACACCAGCTTCTCTTTTCAGGTTTTCAGGTAGGATTCAGTGTCTTGCTAAAGAGCACTAACAGGTGGACAGGAAGTCACTGGAATCAAATTGGCCACCTGTCCATTAATGGCCAACTGAAGTTATGTTTACATGGTATGCATCTTACACCACCCCCCCCACACATCACGTTTACACTGGTAGTGAACGGGTCTTTAATAGGATTAAGGCACTATATGTTATACAAGCAGTATGGCATGTGTTTCTGCTAATCTTCTATAATGGTACATTGTGAGATCCTAGTTAGGCTGCTGTATGTTATCTGACAACCCTATCCTTCATATAATAACACATACTGTATAAGGATAGTGTGTGTCTTTCACCTGGTAGATCTTGTCACACATGAAGGTCTGGCCTCCCAGGATCAGCAGTGTATGTCCTGCCTTGCGTGGGCGAGCACATGGACTTGTCACTATCCCGTCATTCTGAAGGATTTTTTTCTTGCACTGCATTGCCTCTTCTACTATTGACCTACAGAAGAGAGTTAAAGCAAGAGCTCAGAAAACACACTTGTCACATACAGTATATCTTTACCAAAAGCGTGGCTTAATTCTCTTTCTACAGCTACAGAGAAGACGGGCAGCTCTTACCTGCTCTTCTTGTCAGCCATCACCAGCTCTTCACATGCCACAGCCTCCAGCAGACACTCGGACGGCAGCAGAGCCAGCCTGATGCCTCTCAGCAGCTCCGGTAGATGGTGACGCCGACCCTCCAAGTCATATCGAACCCAGCGCAGGACAGAGTTAAACACAACCTGCCACAAGTCAAAACAATAATTCAATACTTGAAAAAAAAAAAGCGGTGGTGTGGCACCATCCTTTGCTACAACGATCAGACAACTTTGAAACACAAAAAAGGGACACAATAACAAGCTTCCAAGAAAAAAGGCTCCTTCAGCAAAATGGGATTTTTCATTGCATTTTGGATTATAGCAAAATGTTGCTTCATCTATGTGCAGGGTATATGCAGGAATCCTGAAGTCAAATGTAATACCTTTTAAGACCTTTTTTAAGACCCTTTCCATACATTTTAAGACCTCATCGCCACTTTGAGTTTTAACACCATTTGGACGCAAACTTGCATTTCCCCATAACGATGTTGTTTAACAACCGGTGTAAACGGAGCTTCGCACGCTATCAAGCAGTGAGCGTGCGATGTCCTGTTCAGATGACATCAAACCCAACGGGATGCCATAAATAAACTACACAGAATCACACTACACACCTACGCAATGATTACATTCAGGCACACTGTAGAATACAACCTCTTTGACAAACTTATTGAAAGCAAGCTACAAAATGTAATACCTTGGAAAATGCCGTTTAATACTTTTTAATAGCCTTAATCTTCGCTAAATTGATTTATCAACTTTAAATACTTTTTAAGACCCCGCGGACACCCTGATGTGTTACTTACAAGTTCTACAGGAAAATCTCTACATACACTGAACAAAAATATAAATGCAACACTTTTGTTTTTGCTCCCATTTTTCATGAGATGAACTCAAAGATCTAAAACATTTTCTATATACACAAAATAACCATTTCTCTCAAATATTGTTCACAAATCTGAAAAAATCTGTGATAGTGAGCACTTCTCCTTTGCCGAGATAATCCATCCCACCTCACAGGTGTGGCATATCAAGATGCTGATTAGACAGCATGATTATTGCACAGGTGTGCCTTAGGCTGGCCACAATAAAAGGCCACTCTGAAATGTTCAGTTTTATCACACAGCACAATGCCACAGATGTCGCAAGTTTTGAGGGAGCGTGCAATTGGCATGCTGACAGCAGGAATGTCCACCAGAGCTGTTGCCCGTGAATTGAATGTTCATTTCTCTACCATAAGCCGTCTCCAAAGCCGTTTCAGAGAATTTGGCAGTACATCCAACCGGCCTCACAACCGCAGACCACGTGTAACCACACCAGCTCAGGACCTCCACATCCAGCATGTTCACCTCCAAGATCGTCTGAGACCAGCCACTCGGACAGCTGCTGAAACAATCGGTTTGCATAACCAAAGAATTTCTGCACAAACTGTCAGAAACCGTCTCAGGGAAGCTCATCTGCATGCTCGTCGTCCTCATCGGGGTCTCGACCTGACTCCGGTTCGTCGTCGTAACCGACTTGAGTGGGCAAGTGCTCACATTCGATGGCGTCTGGCACGTTGGAGAGGTGTTCTCTTCACGGATGAATCCCGGTTTTCACTGTTCAGGGCAGACGGCAGAGCGTGTGTGGCGTCGTGTGGGTGAGCGGTTTTCTGATGTCAATGTTGTGAATCGAGTGGCCCATGGTGGTGGTGGGGTTTTGGTATGGGCAGGCGTATGTTATGGACGACGAACACAGGTGCATTTTATTGATGGCATTGTGAATGCACAGAGATACTGTGACGAGATCCTGAGGCCCATTGTTGTGCCATTCATCCACGACCATCACCTCATGTTGCAGCATGATAATGCACAGCCCCATGTTGCAAGCATGATAATGCACAGCCCCATGTACACAATTCTAGGAGGCTGAAAACATCCCAGTTCTTGCATGGCCAGCATACTAACCGGACATGTCACCCATTGAGCATGTTTGGGATGCTCTGGATCGGCGTATACGACAGCGTGTTCCAGTTCCTGCCAATATCCAGCAACTTCGCACAGCCATTGAAGAGGAGTGGACCAACATTCCACAGGCCACAATCAACAACCTGATCAACTCTATGCGAAGGAGATGTGTTGCACTGCGTGAGGCAAATGGTGGTCACACCAGATACTGACTGGTTTTCGGACCCCCCCCAGACCCCCCCAATAAAGCAAAACTGCACGTTTCAGAGTGGCCTTTTATTGTGGCCAGCCTAAGGCACACCTGTGCAATAATCATGCTGTCTAATCAGCATCTTGATATGCCACACCTGTGAGGTGGGATGGATTATCTCGGCAAAGGAGAAGTGCTCACTATCACAGATCTTTTCAGATTTGTGAACAATATTTGAGAGAAATGGTTATTTTGTGTATATAGAAAATGTTTTAGATCTTTGAGTTCATCTCATGAAAAATGGGAGCAAAAACAAAAGTGTTGCATTTATATTTTTGTTCAGTGTATGAACACCACTTTTATAATTCTTGAAGAGTTGCAAGTGCCAGAAATCAATAGCTACTATTATAAACTGACTACATTACGGCTAAGCTAAAGGTGGCTAATGTTCGGCGTAATGACGTTTAGTAATCCCATTTACTCACTTGTTAGCAAATATTTACTGACCTGTTTATGTTGTATAACAAAACTTGAAAATCTATGAAATGTGTGTTAACCACAGAATAGATTTCAGGCATCTAAGCAAAAACGCATTCAAAAAACCATTGACGTTCAAAAAGACTAACCCATTTCCAGGTTCCTGCACCACTCTTAGGCAACAATTGTAAGATTGTTACGGACTACAATAGAGCACAACAATTGAGAAAAAGACAAAAAAAATGATGGGAAAGAAAGAAGTCAACAGGAAATAAAAGAGAGGATCACTCACCTGTTCATCTTCTATTTCCAGCTCATCGCTCAGAATCAGCTCCAGCAGCTTATCTTTCGACAGACTGTAGAAGTCCTCTGATTCTCTTACCTAAAGCAGACAAATACTCTGATTACATTCAATTTGTTAATATATATATACTGTATGTATTATAATATCGGAAGTATCTACAGTTACTCATTTTCAGCTGCTAATCGAGTGATGAAATGGAAATGGAGTTTAAGGTAGGACCACTCAGCAGATTTCATTTTGTCTTGGTTCTACAAATATAGCTGCAAGTGGCATTTGCAGATTCAAACCCTTCCTCTGTGAAAAGAACGAAGCAGCTCGATTACCAAAAGCAAAGTCACCATCAAGTCTCTTTAGTGGGTTTAATCCCGTCTAAAGAGAGTGAGAACAATCCCGCACTTGTTTCAGCATTACAATGTAGGCAGCATTTCCAATATTGAGCATTTAAAGCTAAAGGCTGTGCATGTATGTAAACAAAGCATGGTGTACAGACTCTGCTATTATCAGCAGTCACTGCTCAGCTCATCTGGAATATACTTTTATTAAATGCAGACCCTTCTATCAACCCAGAGAGTTCATAGCAATCCTAGTAATAGCCGTATATGTAGCCCCGGATGCTAATGCTAAAATTGCAATGAAAGAACTGCACACAGCCATTAGCCAACAACAAACTGCACACCCTGAGGCAGCTTTCATTGTTGCGGGTGATTTCAATCACTCCAGTTTGAAGACTGTACTCCCCAAATTCCGACAACATGTCTCCTGCCCCATGAGAGGCAACAAAACATTGGATCATGTTTACACCAACATGGCCAATGCATACAATGCCATTCCCCTCCCCACCTCTCACTGTTCTTTTACCCCACATACACACCACTCATCAAACGTGTGAAACCCACAGTGAGGACTGTCAAGGTATGGCCTGAGGAGGCAGACTCTATGCTACAGGACAAGTTTCAACATACAGCCTGGAGTATGTTTGCCACCCAGGCCACCTTGGATTCCCATACAGACATTGACCACTACGCCTCCTCCGTACTGGACTACATCAGCACTACCATCAACAGTGTCACCACTCTGAAGCAGATAGCAACGTACCCAAACCAGAAGCCGTGGATGAATAAAGAAGTTCGCCAACTACTGAAAGCACGAAACATCGCCTTCAGATCAGGTGACGAACGGGCTTACAGTTTATCCAGGGCTCACCTAAAGAAGGGCATTAGGAAGGCCAAGCACTGCTACAAACTGAGGATTGAGGAGCACTTCAATAACTCCGACCCCCGAAGAATGTGGCAGGGCATTCAGGCCATCACTGACTACAAACCCACCACCCCCTCTCTCCCGTCAAACAACGTCTCCTTCCTCAACGAGCTGAATGATTTCTATGCTCGCTTCGACAGGGACAACCAGGAGACAGCCACTAAGGCTGTTCCCCCTGCAGACCACCAGCCTCTCACACTCTCACCTTCTGACGTCTTCACCACACTGAGCAGGATTAATGCACGCAAGGCTGCTGGACCCGATGGCATCCCAGGCCGCGTTCTCAGAGCCTGTGCTGGGCAACTGACTGAGGTCATGACGGACATTTTCAACCTGTCCCTGGCCCAAACTCTTGTCCCCACGTGCTTTAAAACCACCGCCATAGTGCCAGTGCCCAAACACTCTGCTGCAGCAGGCCTGAATGACTTCCGTCCCGTTGCACTTACACCCATTCTCATGAAGTGCTTCGAGAAGTTGGTCCTAGCACAGCTTAAATCCCACCTATCACTGACACTGGACCCCCATCAATTTGCATACCGGACTAATAGGAGCACGGAAGATGCTGTTTCCTTAACACTTCACACCGTCCTCTCACATCTGGAAAAAAACAACTCCTATGCAAGACTGCTGTTCATCGACTTCAGTTCAGCCTTCAACACCGTCATCCCCTCCAAACTAATCACAAAACTCAACGACCTGGGCATCAACGCTCCCCTCTGTAATTGGATTTTAGACTTTCTAACCAACAGACCCCAGCATGTCAGGTTGGATAATCTCTCTTCCATGACCCTCAGTCTAAATACCAGTGTCCCACAAGGCTGCGTGCTGAGCCCCCTCCTCTACTCCATCTTCACCCACGACTGTACCCCTGTACATGGTTCAAACACCATCATCAAGTATGCAGACGATACAACGGTGATCGGCCTCATCCACAACAACGATGAGACGGCCTACAGGGAGGAGGTTCAGCATCTGACTGAGTGGTGTGCTGACAATAACCTGGCCCTTAACACAACAAAAACAAAAGAACTCATTGTGGACTTCAGGAGATCAAAAGGCAACACACACACACTCCCATCCACATAAATGGAACGGCGGTGGAGCGTGTGTCTAGCTTCAAGTTCCTGGGGGTCCACATATCCGATGACCTCTCATGGTCCAACAATACCACCAGCATAGTAAAGAAGGCTCACCAGTGTCTCTTCTTCCTGAGGAGACTAAAGAAAGATCACCTCTCTCCTCAGATTCTGGTGAACTTCTATCGCTGCACCATTGAGAGTATCCTGACCAGCTGTATCACAGCCTGGTATGGGAACTGCACAATGCTCAATAGGAAGGCATTGCAGAGGGTGACGAAAATCGCCCACGCATAATCGGTGTCCCACTCCCTACCATCGAGGACATCCAGGGGATACGGTGTTTGCAGATGGCGCACAACATCTTCAAAGACACCTCTCATCCTGCAAACTATCTGTTTGTCCTCCTACCCTCGGGGAGGCGCCTCAGGAACCTCCGGTCCAAGACCAGCAGGTTCAGGGTCAGCTTCTTCCCCAGGGCTGTTACCCTGCTGAACTCTGCCCGCTGATAGACTCAAGCCCATACCCACCACCCACCTGTTTATATATTTTACTGTCAATACCGTTTACACTGTATATATTCATCTGTTTATAGCCTATTTATAATTATTCTATTAATACAAATTCCATGTATAATTATTCTCATTATGTAGACTCCTGCACTGCTATTTTGCACTTCTGGTCAGATGCCTAAACTTATATTTCGTCACTAGTACATGTACTATGTAATGACAATAAAGTTGAATCTGAATCTGAATCTAAATAAAGGATTGCTCAAGGCAACTTTCGACTACTTGCTGCTAAGACCCCACTATGTGAAGAGTTTTGAGTAGATTTCGCCCATTTTTTTAACAATCTTGCTCATTTGTAACAGATAATTGTCTATATCTAACGGCCCGTCCACACAGCGGCGTGCGTTGACGCTTCACCATTCACTTTGAATGGGGTGACGTCACTTTTCGCCGAACTGCATTGTGGGAAGCGACGCGGAGCGTTGCTGGCGTGGCTCGCTGCAAAAGTTGAGCAATGTTCAACTTTTGACGCCTCGGCAGAAGCGTCAGCCTATCAAATCATATGCCAGTACAAGCTCTAGCCAATCAAACCGCTGCTTGTGTGTCAGGGGCGGGAGATTCATGTGATTGGTTGTTGGTCGAGTTTCAGACACGCCCGCCGGCAAGCTTCAACGCACGTGTGTGGACGGGCCGTTAGTCCTGCATGATTGGAATAAAATGTCAGTGTTTCCACTTACACAGCGTCCACACGGCGGCGTGCGTTGAAGCTTGCCAGCGGGCGTGTTTGAATCTCCCGCCCCGAACACACAAGCACGCGGTTTGATTGGCTAGAGCTTGTACTGGACGATTGATTTGATTGGATCGAAGCTTCAAAAGTTGAACATTGCTCAACTTTTGAAGCGAGCAAAGCGAAGCTAAAGCTCCCACAATGCAGTTCGGCGAAGTGTGACGTCACCCCATTCAAAGTGAATGGGCAGAAGCGTTGAAGCTTCAACGCACGCCCCCGTGCAAAGCACCATGAGTGACACTGAACAAGCCACAACAGGTGAATGTATTTGCCTGTATTTGGCCGTTATGGTACCAAGTTCTCTAGCTTGTTCCAGCTCACAGCAAATTCAGGGAAGGAATACAAAAATAAAAACAATTCATAGGCCACACCCACATGCACCAATTATTATTGCACTTCCTGCCCCCAGTTCCCCTGCATCAAATTTGGTGAAACGCAGTTAAAGAAAATGTGGGGCACCCATTTGTGGCGCCACGTATGAATCGGGCTCAAAAGACAATTTTGAAGTTCTATTCCCTGAAAACTGATTAAAATATCTACCAAATTTGAGGTCACATGATTTGATAAATGGCTGTTGATTCATGGGCAATTTTGTTTGCAAAGTTATTTATATGCATCTCGGTTTCACAATAGTTTCCGAACCCGAATAACATCAGTCAAGTGAACTACAGATAATATTTAAAGAGCTGAGGATGTTGCCAACTCGTACTCAGCGTATTTTTCTTGTGATGATGAGGTCATGCTTGAGATCACAGATGTATCAATCCAATCAATTCCAATCCCAGTCAATTTACTAAATGGAAAAGCACAGTCATCTGCCAATTTCCTTTTAGTTAACTGTATGGTATCAAGAGCATTATAAGGCTCAGAAATATGGCAGAGTATATATGTCAACATTTGGGCTGATAAATGCTTTCAGATCTTATGGCTGACACTGACAACACCAGGTTAGTGCGAGAAAAATCCTCATCATCCTTACGGTCTCATAGTGTAATAGACACATCCTCCACGACAGCTCGTACAGTCTTTTACACTGATGAGCGTCCGATAGCAGCATCATCCCCAGGCAGTTTGAAGAATGAAGGTTTTTTTCTAAAAACTCTGCTGCTGCGTCTCGAATGTCATGAAACTGCAACATGTCGCCCGCCTCTAACAATGACTCAGCGTTCTCCTCGTTTATGATGACTCGAGAAGAATAAGCGAAGTCCAGCAGGAGCTCCAAGACCTGGAAAAGTGGAGGATTAAAATTAAACGCTGACATTTTGTAGAGTTTGTACAAGGAATTTTCTGACCACATTACATAGCCAAGTTACTCAAATATTTTCCAAGCAAGAAACCATATAAGATGTAGACACAAAAAAACATAGGGCTGTGAAGGATGAAGAGAAAACTAAAACTGTATCTTCTGTAGTTCCTTGGCTGTTATGTTCTGAGAGACAAAAAAATAAATTGAATGACTCAGCGGATCAATACTGTAGGAACAGGTGCTGTGGGAAACAAAAACGTTTAAAAAAGTTCTGATTTTTTTCACCCTTCAAATGTCAATACCTTCCTTGAAAAAATTCCAAACAAAAAAAATTCCAAACACTAAGTTTTTAGTGGCGTGATCGCGGCCTTAGGGTAAACGCAACATGCTGTTTTATGTAAGATTGAGGTCATTTGTTATGTGCCTTTCTTCATATCATAAAACCTCTTTCTTCCCATCTTTTTTTAACACTAGAACCGCCAGGGGTCGCTGTATACCTAAAACCGCCAACGGGTAAAATGTACCCGCTATTAGAATGCATTGATTTTCAAGGTACAATGTTCTTTTGATTAACACACTAGAACACAGGGTTAAGAGTGAGTTTTGATCGCAGTGATGAAACATATACCAATAGAATCTGTGGACTCTCAGCTTTCATCTGATATCTAGTTCGTGCAGTAGTATAAAAGATCGCTACCGTGAGTTATGTGCAAAGTGTCTCTATCTCACTCTCCATCCATCTATATCTATCTATCTCTCTCTCTATCTATCTATCTATCCCTCTCTCTATAAGGAACCGCAGTAAACAACAGCCGTTGCTATAGCAACACGTCATGTTTATCTTTTGGCGCGAGATCAATAGCGCAGAAATCACTGCATCTTCTATGAGGTAAATATTACCCGCTGGCGCTGATGGGTATAAATGGCATTTTTTGGGCCATTTTTTCAATCTTACTTCATATTGACAATTTTTAACAACAGAGGGTGCTACATAACACACTTTCAGGAAAAGTCACGGACTGGGAGACATGAATATTTTATTGAAAAAAAGTTACATACAATCAAGAAACAGCTGCGGGTAAAATTTACCCGTTGGCGGTTCTAGTGTTAAACGTCTGTATAGGAATGAGTCCTAAAACCCGAACATGTGCCAGTTCTGATTCCCTCGTTTCGAAGGTTTTTTAAAAACGTGTTTTTAGTTAAAGGCCTGAAATAAGGTCTGGGAGATTTTCAAGGTTTATTCTACGACGTGGTCAATAATAAGTGACTAAATGGGTATACTAAACGTCATCCCGGCAAACATTAGGCGCCTTAAAGTAAGCTTTGAAGTCATGCCACTGTGTTGTAGTTTGTTTATAGCAACGTTAGCTTTTTACCTCTGGCAACTGCATTCATGCTTCAAAAATCATAAAAGCACTGTTAATATGTAGAGATTATCCTGCTGAACAAAAGGTTTGAATATCATAAACGTGTTTGTCACATTTTTTATTTCATATTTTAAAATCCAATGGAAAAATCTCATTGCTTTTTATTGAAGGAGCCCGCTGTGATGCTAACTTCCGAATACTTCATCACTGCACCACTCTATTAAAAAAGCCATCAAACAAATTCAACAGCACAGTGATTGTCGATCCATTAAGAAATCTATAAACTGTGAAAAGTGGACATTGAGTTCAGATTGTTCACAAGTAGTGGTTGGATGGAGGATTATTTGATGAATGCTTTCATCTAAAGAGCTTTCGAAAGAAGCTTTAAAGTTCTAAAGGAAAAATAGTGTAGATTTATCCTCTGTAACAGCGGTCGTACCTCAGGGTGTATGCTGTCTCTGAAGTTGACGTCACTGTCCAAACTCTCTCGTAGTCCTCCGCTGAACATGGCCTCAAAGTAACGACTGCATGCTGCCAAGACAGCTCTGCAGGAAACAAACCATTTTGTCAGTGAATAAAAATGGCACGGTCCTGCTCCGGAGGTCATATAAAAAACAAAAAAAGAACAAAGGAATGTGGAAAAGTATGTAGTGTATGTTACTCTCTGCTGTGGTGGCTGGGTCTACTAAATGATGTATATAGTGAATTTCACAAATGTTTACCTGTGGCATGGGAAAGAGCGGTCCCCGGCCCACAGAATGACATCAGTGAACAGGCACTGTTTCCTCAAGGTGTTCAGGTGGGTCAGCACACTGTCGGGATGGGAAGGCTTGTGGAACAGCGAGATGTTCATGGAGCCCGTGCTAGTGCGGGACTTGCGATTCTCATGAACGGTCACCGACATGGTGGCCTCGTTTGGCACCTGCAGGGAGTCACTGGGCACGACCTCTCCTACTGTCCAATGGCAAGAACAGAAAAGGGGAAATAAGTCAAGTTGTAGTTCAGCAGCACATAAACTGTATCCATGCATGCATTTTCTTCTGAGTCTCAGCAAGCACATTCATTTGCATAACTAAACCTGGAAATGAGAAGGACGTTATCCCAGCTTATTACACAGCTTAGTTTAATACAATTCCGATTGGTCGATTTGGACACAGGAAACTAAGGATGCTTTGATCAAGAGAACATTCATATCATATCATATCAAGTTAAGAAGTTAATTGTAGGTAAAGAAAAAAAGTTTTCCTCCATAAGGAAACATCATGGAATACTTAAGTTTTATATTTGCGATGAGCAGGACACTTCTGATTATGATGGCTGAACTGTCCCCGGTAAAAGAAAAAGAAAACAGACTAATTGCATCGGGGACCCTGCTCGTCCTGTCTGGGTTCTTTTCTCATTAAGGAGCGGCTCGCTGCACATCATCCATTACATAACGGAACAAAGAAAGACAGGAATAAGAGACTGAGCTGTGAGACTAAAGGCTACTCCTGGGTAAGAGACAACCTGAAATCTAAACCCATCTCACTCTGTTCTATGTTACTTTGGTTCATTCTGCTTCATCTTCCTTCTTTTGAACCGTTCCCTTCATCTTTATTTATTTTGTCTTCTGGGTAACATCTTCTAATTGCCTTTCATCTCAGATTCCATTGTTATTTTACTCGTATCTGCTTTCCCCAGGAGAGCCAGGGAGCGCACAGCCACCCGTCTTTAATGATAAGCTCTGAGGTGTCTGAAGCTACGCCTCCGCTGTTATCTGCTGCAATATTGTTAATTGTTTAACAAATGTCTCCATACCCGATATAACTAATTGAATTGCATTTTTAGGCAGCAAACTTTTACATTGGAAGAGCTTTGGAGGCTATGACTCTTCCTCTCATCCATGCTGGCCCAAGGAGACAAAGGAGGATTCATTTCAGTGTATACTGACATGAGCATGTGAGTGTGATAGACCTAAATAAATACAATTCAATAATACATGCAATACATGCTTCCCTAATTAATTTAATACCAATATTTAAATCAGGTTTTTATTTATTTATTATAACCCAAAATGGGTAGTACCTATTTAAGCCTTTGGGGTATAGGTTTGTGTGTAAATGGTCTGCAAAGGCTAACATCCCTGTGTTCCCTCCAGAGGGAGTTTCTCTCCTCTCAACAGTTACAAAGTTTCCCATTTAGAAGACAATTAGAAAATCTAATTTTACAACAAAGGGACGAATAGACAAATATAAGCCAACAAGCTTCTCCTCACATCAATGGTAAATAAACTCGAGGATGTTATTTGTATTTATTGTCAGATGAATTAATGTAGACTAACGACAAACCACTCTACAAGAAATGCTGTTTCAGCAGCCTCAGCTTTGTGTGTGTGTGTGTGTGTGTGTGTGTGTGTGTGTGTGTGTGTGTGTGTGTGTGTGTGTGTGTGTGTGTGTGTGTGTGTGTGTGTGTGTGTGTGTGTGTGTGTGTGTGTGTGTGTGTGTGTGTGCATCCATCTAAATGTGCTGACATGCAGTTTCCGACCCGAGCCACAATAGATCAGTCATGAGGTGAGTGGTGTTCCACAGATCACAATAGAGGCTAGACAGCAGGCTCTATGTGGCTGCATGGTGTTCAATGAACAAAAGAGGAGCACATACATACAGTTAACAGTCACAACCACACATCATAGTAGATGTCACAGTGTGAGGCCGACGACACAACGCTGAGCTTGGATGTCTGAGATTTCACGTGTGATTACTGTAAGTTTAATGACTACAATACATCTAAGAGCACAAAACAATTGAAGTGTTAATACATTTGAAAGTCAAATGTTGAGTGCACAGCTTTATGCAGGAGGGAGGATAGCATCGTATCACATGATGATTAAGGAATGAACGAGGAACTGTGTAGCTCAATTAGAGTCTGCAACAAGGATTCTCACACTCCTAACGATTAAAGCTGCAAAGTAAATACCCTGAACTCTCAGTCTGAGAGTAATGGGTCATCGATTCAATATGACCTGGAAGATAAGAGCAAATCCTGTTAGATCCTTCTAAGTGCTTTCAAAATGACAGTAAGGACAGGGCCATTGTTTAATCCTCTGGTTACAAAAAAGAGCATAATGAACGGTCTCCATCACCAATTACTGAAAAACAAAGATGCTGCTCAATGGGTCTCGAAGGATTTCAATGCCAAGGACCAATAGGAGAAATGTTGGTCAAATATTATCTGTTTATTATTTGGTTTGAAAATGAGGGAAAGGCTACATTTAAGAATGAGATCATCAATGCCTATGATTTCTGTTTTGTTGAAAAGTAGATAGATGTCAATAGAGGTGTGCATAACGCAAACAAACATATATATACAGTATATATATATATATATATATATATATATTTTGCAACCCTATTCACCAAAACTCTTAACACAAAGATGTTCCCTCAACCTCTGGCCTACATATGGTCATAAAACATGTTTAACTATTTATTAACCAACATAAATGGCCTGTCTGATACATAACATTTTAATTAGACGTGCTACTGCCAACCTTTTTAGTCCCAGAGAGAATCCTCTCTACCGGCCCATTAAGGACAGGGATCATGCAGGCCCACCTGGCCAGTTTGGCCCACCTGGGATACATTTCTGTGAAATCACTTACTTTGCAGGTCTATTCAGCCTATTTTTAATACATATGGGGAAATGATGTTTCACCAGACATTATGACCGGAGAGATTTACATTTGCCAGACTTTGGTACATATTTTTCCAATAAGAGTCTGGTATATAGCCACCAACAGAAACACACATCTGGATTATCGTGAATTTTTTACTAAAAGGTTTTTTGTATTTCTCCAATCTAAGTGATTTTAAGAATAGCAAGTTAAGGTTATTAAAAAAATAAAAAATGTTCCCGTTATCTATTCTACCATACAAACAGCTCTGGGAAAAATTAAGAGACCACTCATCAGTTTTAAAAAAAAATCTCAATCTCTACATCACAGCCATTCCAATGTCTGTTGAATTCCAACACAGAGAAACGTTGTCAGTAGTTTATAGAATAAAATAAAATAAAAGAAGCATTCCGTGAGGAGAAGCTATGTAAACGACTAACTGACACGTGGCGCACAAGGTCCCAGCACTTAATCTTAATACATATTGTAAGCCATTGTTATACTGCTTTTTGTTGAACATAAGAAACTATAAAAAGTCTAATGACATGACTACATGGGTTTGTTTTCCTCTTGTCCTCCATAAAAAAAGAAAATCACTATCCAATTACATTATATACATTATTATGCAGCACATTGATTTGTTCAGCCCCCCAATGCTTTCTCTCATAAATAATATGGAAGCAGGTGGGCAGCCCAATGGACTCAGGTCTGAGACCACCACAAGTAGAATTGAATTCTGTGAGAAACATTTACTGCCCATTTGTAGCAATATCTAAGTTATTTTGTAAAAACGATTTAGAATGTTGATTCTTACATGAATTGATTTTTCCAGCACCCCTGATAGAGATAGTGTCCTTACGGCCCGTCCACACAGCGGCGTGCGTTGACGCTTCACCATTCACTTTGAATAGGGTGACGTCACTTTTCGCCGAACTGCATTTTGGGAAGCGACGCGGAGCGTTGCTCGCTGCAAAAGTTGAGCAATGTTCAACTTTTGAAGCCTCGGCAGAAGCGTCAGCCAATCGAATCATATGCCAGTACAAGCTCTAGCCAATCAAACCGCTGCTTGTGTGTCAGGGGCGGGAGATTCATGTGATTGGTTGTTGGTCGAGTTTCATACACGCCCGCCGGTAAGCTTCAATGCACACCGCTGTGTGGACGGGCCGTTACGTCCCCACGGCAGTGTCGCGTTGAAGCTTGCCGGTGGGCGTGTCTGGCGTGCGACCAACAACCAATCACATTAATATATGAGGTTTGGTGTCAGGGGCCTTCATAGGGACGTCACGGAAAAATATATTTTTTAGTAACTTATCAAATCAAAGACAACATTTAGAATGTGACACACGTATGACTACATACTCGTTTCAAAACAGTACTGAAGTTATCGTAAGTATTAATCTGTTAAAATTAGGGCTGTCAAGTTAACGCGTTAATAACGCAATTTTTTTTTAACGCCACTACTTATTTTAACGTGCGATTAACGCATGTGTATTTGTCCTCGGCCCGCCCCGTAGTTTCAGAGCCCAAAGGCTTGACGTTGTTGTTGTTGTTAGTTGGATGGTGGGAGATTCTAGTGAGAGATATGGATACAAAAAAAGGTGTTTTAAACAGCAAGCCAAGCACCCAGCTGATGCCGACAGCCCCGCTCCTGCCGCTCGCTTGCGGCAGACCACGCTTGAAAGTTTGCCGGGGAGACGCCTGGACAACAACAGCGATAGCTAAATGGGTGGCTACAGCTTAACATTGTGGAGGACGAGGGGCTGCGTTAGATAATTCGGATCGCATCCAACGTGTCGACTGCACATCACAGCGCATTATTTTGACCCACAGTGGGAACTTCAGTCTCATGCTTTGACTGTTATGAAGACAGAGGAGCGGCATTTCGCCGACAACTGTAAACAGGCTTGTCTGTTTGAGCAACTGGCTCAGTGCAAAGAAGTACACAGGGTTGGGAGAGAGTGTAAGAGAGAGAGAGAGAGGTTCCAGGTTGTTGTATTGAAAATATTCAGGAGAATATTTGTCATTGTTCCAATGATAATAAACAAACATTTGCATAAAGCATATTTGTCTTGAAAAAAAAACTTGAAAAATATTCCTCTAAGGTACATTTAGAACAGATAACACATTTGCGATTAATCGCGATTCAATATTTGAATCGACTGACAGCCCTAGTTAAAATCTGAAAGGAAATAAAAACTAATAAATTCAGTGTTGTATGCATTCAGTACTAGTACATTGTAAACAACACTCATCGGTGGTAAAACCAGCAGGTACAGCAAGTCAACGTCAGCTGTTAGCAGCAGTATGTTGAAGCACATGGGATTCATTGTTCTGTTTACACTATATTCATACAACCGATAGTGTGTATATGATTACCTTTTGGCATATAACATTTCCCATCAACTTAATCTAGCCTCTTAATTTTGCTCTCAAATTGCACCAGATTGGCACATTCAAATCAAACACATTTTGAACAAACAACCCTCATAGCCATACACTGCTGGTTATGATCACCATTTGCATAGGCAGAGTGCTCACACATTAATAATAAAATACAGATTTACATTTTTGATGCAAAAAGTAATGCTGTAAATTCAACAGCATAGAAGGCTGTGCTGTTCTCAGTCCATGTGTCTGGATCTTCTGTTGCACAGTCTCATACTAATATCAATAATTCCAGACAGCAGCATTTCCGTTCAAAGGTCATCCTCTTGAGAACTGGCCAAAGGTTAGGCAGTGATTAAACACAACTAGATTTAGTGTAGCAGTAGGCTTATTTTTCCAGGGAACTGATTCATGCTTAGAACTCCAAATAGGTGGAAAGAGTGGCGTTTCTTTTATCTGAAAGATTTACTCAAAACTCAGACAATTCATGAACCAGAGACATGTCAAATATTGTGTAATCTGAGCAGGAACAGTATTCAAGGGACCATAGTGTGTTTTCTTTACAGAAGGTATATAGCATTACCAGTTTCCCATAGACCGTCAAGTAACCTAATTTTCCCAACCAACCCCACAAAAACCAAATCTGGAGAGGTGCAGGAATGAGTCCTTAACCCGGAAACTAATTAGCATTTTAGCACTTCTCTCTTCTCAAAGTCAGTTTTTCTTTTTCTTCATAAAAATAGTATCTAGTTTAAGTGTCTTGAGAACAGCGGTTGCTAACAAGTGACTAAATGAGACCAATAAATGTCTTCACCCCGGCACGAGTCCGCCTTAAGCTTAGAGGTGGTGACATGAAGTAATGTGTTTATATAATTATGTTAGCTTGTTAGCTTTTGGCTATTATTTTTATAGCAATTGACTTTCAACTATCATAACATGAGTGGTACTATTTGGAGATTATCCTGCACAACAAAACATGGAGGTATCATAAACGTGTGTTTGCCATAAATCTTATTTTCTGCAATAATCCAAATTCCAATGAAAGAAATCCCATTGGCCTTTGTAGAGGGAGCCCTAGCAATGCTAACTTCCTGCACCACTTTATTACAAGCTTATTAAAAGAACACACAAGGAGACAATGGTCACACGTGAGAAGCTGAAACCAGCCCAATGTTGACTTGAACTTTAGGATGATAATCAATTGTTTTGTTTTTTGCCATTTACCAATTAATTAATGAAAACAACAGCACAATGTTCACAGGGTATTAGATCTTTTTGCTAATTTAAGCAATTAGGCAGTTGAAATTCTGCCATGCTAAGTGGCCAATCACGTATAGCTTTCATTACACAAATCATTACTAACCATTATGAGCACAATGCAACGAAGAGGGAGAGTATACGAGACACTTTACTGGACCAGTTGGGATGATTCATGGCGCAGGCAGAGATGACCAAACAACAGGAATATTAAAAAGGGTGTCGGGCTTCATTCCACTTGCAGGCTAACTTACGGTGACAGAGGCTGCTGACCCAGGCACAGGCACTGACAGTCAGGAGGTGGGGGGGGCTCTGCATCCCAGGACAGCTACACAGGACTAATGAACACAGACCAGTTAAGGAAGTATGCACTGCACTGCATTCATCAACCCATATTAAAGTAGTGAGGGGTGTGAGGGGGAAGGCAGTGATACATTCTAACAAAAACAGTTTCAGTGCACAGTGAAGGGTGAACATTTTCATATCGAACACTAAAGTGTTGAAATAAGCAAATACAGAACAGAAGATATACATGTAAATATTGTAGCTAGGGGTGTAACGGTTCACAGAAGTCACGGTTCGGTTCATACCTCGGTTTGGGGGTCACGGTTCGGTACGGGTTCGGTACAACAAGGAAAAGAAAAAGAAAAGTCCCAAATGCATAATTTTGTTTGCTGTTATTTATTTTTAACAGTAGTGCAAGTTTTGCTATGAAAATAAGGAACTCTAACATTTGGAATCATTAACTGTATTACACAGTTAAAAACAAACCACAAACAGTACCACACACACTCAGATGGCCATATTATTTATATTGGCTGATGTCAAACAAAAAGGTTCAATAAGCTGTACAACTAAAAAGAATGTCTTGAAAATATTAAAATAAATAATAAGAAAGTGTTTCAATCACAATCAATAAAAGGCAATACAGAACTGTATAACATCTCCTGATGTCAAAATATAAAATAAATACAATGATAAATATAAAACAAAATAAAATCTGTACCTTTAGGAGCAATGTCTAACATGTGTAATTAACTTGTGAGTGTGTGAGGCCATTTGCCTAAATAAAGGTCAAGCTCAAGCTTTACTCTATGTTCAAGTTTTTCTTCAAAAAGATGAGTTTGTCTACGTTGTCAGTAGTGAGGGCAGATCTGTTGGCGGTAACTATGTCACCTGCCGTCGAGAAAACCCTCTCGCTGGGGACTGAGACTGACTCGGATGTGATTGAGCATGTTTGACGTGTTACCACTAGCATACCGCACCGCTGTCGAACAACGCCGACACACCGTCCTCGGCCATCATTGTTGTAGTCCACAGGGAACCCGAAATGTTCCCACACACCTGATTTAAAAGAAGCAGGTGGGTCTTCTAGCTCCTGTGTGTTGTGTGAACTCGCCATAGCTACTAACTGTTCTTCTTCATGTATTGTGTTCGTTTTGTTGTGTTTTGTTCTTCATTTGTTATTTACGGGCGGCTGGCTTTTAGGCGCAATACCGCCCCCTGGATTATATATAGTGTAATACTGCCCTGAGTGACAGACTTTTTTCCCACTCGTAAAAAAAAAAGGCGTATTTGCCGCGTGACTGCATGTGCCGAACCGTGACACCCCTAAGCTTCAGGGAAAGTTAAACACATTTAGATGTTAACTAAAGACACACACACACACACACACACACACACACACACACACACACACACACACACACACACACACACACACACACACACACACACACACACACACACACACACACACACACACACACACACACACACACACACACACACACACACACACACACACACACACACACACACACACACACACACACACACACACACACACACGACTGAGGCCTCTGTAAGGAACCCGGTAGTCAATAGGCCTGAACTTGTTGGCATAGCTGCAACACTGGCTGTGTTGCCCATGGCAGTGTGTGCTCGTGAGCATGAGCATGCCCGTGCGTGTAGTGGTGTTGATCATAAAAGTAGCGAGTCCCTGGACCAAAGGTGGACATTTGTGTGGGTCACCAAAATAATCTCGGTTCCAACTAAGGACTCAATCGAAAAAAAAAAAGTGCACAGCATTCCACTAATTAAATAAAAATCACAAATCTGAAGGGATTTAGTCTCTCCTGTGATGATTGACCATGAACAGAGCAACTCGTCTGATAGACGCACAGAAGGTGAGAAAAAGGTTTATTTTGTTCCTCTTGGATTTGAATGTGTCAGAAACACAGGACGTGTACCTAGCAACATCAGTGTGAGACTGATGAAGAGAGAAATGAGCTCTGACCTTTCTCTGATGTTTGTGTTGATGATAATATTAACATGATTCATCAGTTGGCACTAGCGCTTATGTGTGCTTATATATTATCAACTCAAAGTGAAGTAGATTTGGAAGGTTGCTCCAAAAGACTGCGCCGTCTAGCTCCCGCTGTATTTTTTCATCCGCAACAAGATGGAGGAAAGTCTGTACCTCGTCCAACGACCACAGTGTGCTTTTCTTTGCTGCCATTTCTTTATGGATTTGTTGAAATGAAAAATACTTTTTTGAAATTAGAAATACTTGCTGACGGGAGCTCGTCTGTTTGAAAAATGTTGCTTGGAGACTGCGCAAGAATTGTGACGATTCTCTCTGACCAATCAGCGGTCGGCAGTGTTTTATGTCACGAGCCAAGCATATTTTGCAAGCCGAGCAAAAACCCTGTAGTGGAAATGCGCCATTAGCCGCGTTCACACCAAGTACTTTGCCGTACTTAGTGCCGGCACTTATTACCCCAGGGCACTAAGAACAGATCGCGTTCACACCGGAATAAGTTCCCTGAGGGAAGATTACGCAAATGAGCCGCTGACGCCACTTCGTCTGCTTTGGGTTTACTGGCAGGCCGCGAACCACTTCACGGTGTATACTGCCACCCGAAGTCCCCGGCCGGAAGTCCCCGGAGTTGGGGACTGGCTTCAGAAGAAGCTGCCGGCCAATCAGAACTGGGGCACTTTTTTCCCCCAGGAAAGTACCATCTCTCAGCAGGCACTAAACATGGGGGTAAAAGTTCCTGGCACTCAGTACTCTTTTTGGTGTGAACGCGACATAAGGGGTACTAAACGCGAAAAGTACGGCAGGGCTCGACAGTAACAATTGCCAGGTTGCCATTGGCAACCATTCAGAAAAAATTTCAACCACTTCTTGGCCTTTGGTTGCCATCAGTGGCAACCCGTTTTTAACATAAAGAAATCAGGACAGCAAACAGCAAAATGTGCATCCCAAAATAGATAAATGTTAATTATTTGTTGTATTAAGAGTGATATTGAATTATTGTTGACCAGTCGGAACCTGATACTTAAGTAGGGCTCAACGCTAACTTTTAAAAGTGGTTGCCAGGCTGGCAACCAGGCATCAGCTTTTGGTTTCCAAAACTGAAAATACGGTTGCCATTTTTAGTCACCTTATATTTTTAAATAATTAAGATACTATACAGTTATACATCAACTTAATAATGAACATGTGACACAAAAGAATGTTCAAATGCTTTACATTAAGTAATTAACACACTTATTTGAAACTTAAGTGGTAGTAAACTTGTCCACCCTCAATTGCTGGTATACAAAATACCAGTAGTGCAGCTGCTGTCATGTTCTTCACAGATCCCTCAAAAATGAATTGAGCAAGTCACTAGTTTCTTAGTCATCCGTTGTCTTCCTTTCAAATCTGGGTTTCCTTGACCTTTGTGCTGACCCCCACCATAGATCCACTGGCCCTTCAGCATTGATTGTGGTTCTGTCATTGGCCAGACTAATACTTTCTAATGTTAAATAAATGAAAACCATTCACAGTTAAGAATATATATTAATTAGTAATGCTGTAAATTATCTTTTAATATGTCTAACTATATTTAAAATGTGTTACCTTTTTATAGAAGTGATTATATTTGTATGCCAATATTTTCCTATGGTAAAGTTTCGTTAAGCACTTTTATTTTGGTAGTAATACGATCGGGACTCTTATTTTGAAGGAACTTTTACCGGAAGTGAATGGACAACGAAGCAGAATGTACATATATATATTTCGCCTCCCAAGACTTTACACATTTCCTCTTTGCTTTTCGTTCGGGTTTATCTTGCGCTTTATCAGTTGAATCACTTTGAACATTCGTTTGAGAAGTTGAGGTGTTGGCTGAACTTTTTACCCCACAGTCAAACAACTTAATTTGCCTCGCCATTTTTTGTAAAACAAACACACGGCGCACCGCGCATGCGAGTAAACGTGCATTGCTTTCTGGCTCCGTAATCACACCAATGCACGTGCAAGTATCAAGTTCCGACTGGTCACAACAATAATTAAATATCACTCTTAATACAACAAATAATTAGCATTTATCTATTTTGGGGTGCACATTTTGCCGTTTGCTGTTCTGATTTCTTTATGTTAAAAACTGTTTGCCACTGATGGCAACCAAAGGCCAAGAAGTGGTTGACATTTTTTTCTGAATGGTTGCCAATGGCAACCTGGCAACCGTTACTGTTGAGCCCTGTTAAGTTGCACGTGCATAAAGCGATGCATGTTTACTCGCGTGCTGGGTGTGCCGTGTGTTTGTTTTACATAAAATGGCGAAGCAAATTAAGTTGTTTGATTGTGGGGTAAAAAGTTCCGTAAACATCTCAAACGAATGTTCAAAGTGATTCAACTGATAAAGCGCAAGGTGAACCCGAACGAAAACAAAGAGGAAATGGGTAAAGTCTTGGGAGGCGAAATATATATGTACATTCTGCTTCGTTGTCCATTCACTTCCGGTAAAAGTTCCTTCAAAATAAGAGTCCCGATCGTATTACTACCAAAATAAAAGTGCAAAACGAAACTTTACCATAGACAAATATTGGCATACAATATAATCACATATAAAAAGGTAACACATTTTAAATATAGTTCGACATATTAAGGTAATTTACAGCATTAAACCAACCAACACTTCCTTTGACCACATCCACCTGATACTCTACATGCGTGTCCTTATTGGCAAATGTTCGGGATTCTTTACATCCAACATAACCAGATTTTTGAACAGCTGTTGCTGCTATTTTGGTGAATTTGTTCACTTATGAAAAAAGGGAAATATTTTAATGTCCTGCTCCAATGTTAGCGAACGTAATTAAATCTTCCCCTTAACTGTAATCATTAAATAATTTTGAATGATTAAAATAAAATGAGTTTCAACAAATCCTTACTTGAGAATTGTCTTCCTGCATGTCTTTGCCATATCTTTCCCATACGATTCTCAAGTATATCAGGGTGCCTTTCATGGAGTTGGAAGAGAATCTAATAGAACTACTAATCAAC